AGGAACTTGATGATGTTGACCATCAGATCGCGGATGTCCGGCCGGAAGTTGCCGCCGGAGGGGAGGCCGTTTTCGGTCTCGTAAACGTCGGCGTTTAGAGGGATTGTGACCTTCACTTGCCGCGCCAAGCCGGCCTTTATCAGCGCCGCCTGAATGTTCTGCAGCGCCGGAAATGTGGTTTGAAGGAATGAACCGTTGTACGCATTTAGGAAAGGTTCATTCCCCACCGCCACATACCTGACATACAAAAACATGATAATTAATAATTAAAAACATGTTAGTTAATAATTATAGCATTAATCACATAAAGTAAAAAAATAAAGTAAAAAATAAATAAAGTAAAAAATAAAGTCAGTTAGTACTAAAACATCCCAATTTCTTTAAATTTCACTTTTTTCCCTAAATCTTTTATAGTACAATAATAATATGGGACGGAAATTTGTAGATAACTAGGTTATGCTAATATTGACAATTGGTAAATGAATTTTGAGTTTATTTCATTTTAGCTCGTGAGCTTTAAAGGTTACTATTTTGGTGTCAAAATGTGCATAATTAGAAAGTTAAAGGTATTTTTATTTTTGTCGAGATATTGAGTTCAAGTTCATATACCATATTTATTATGGTGTGAAATTCTAAAAAAAATATATATATTTAAGTCTCTAATATCAATTATTTAATAAAGGAACAATGTGAGTTTCTAAATAAAATGTGACCTCATTTTTGTAGTATGAAAAGAAATAACATAAACAAAAGTTAAAAATAATGATGCAACCCCTCCATCATAATTGAGTATATTTTCTTTATTATCGTTAAATGTTTAACAATTAATGAAGAGGAACTTTGTCCTCATTTATCATTAAATGTTTGACAATTAAAAGAGAGAAATGCAAAAATAAAGATTTTTTCTAAATAAAATGAGTTGTCAAATATTTAATGATGATTTCTACTTATCGAAAAAACAAGTATTTTCTATACTAACTTGATGATAGGTGCATTTATTGAAGCCAGATGTTGATTGAGATGAATGGTGGGTGAGGTAGATATTGAAGGTAGATTAAAATGATTATTGTTTTCATGAATCAAAATGAAAAAGATAAAAATACTTGGGAACAAGAAAGAACACGTAAATATACGTCCCTAAGGTTCAAGAGTTTTAATTAAATAATTAATTTAAAAATTAGCAATAAAGACAAATAGTTTTTTTAATGGAAAATCAAGTTACTTAAATTAAATATTTAAAAGTATTTTTTTTAGTACAAAATTTGGAAACTAAAATAAAGCTAATAGCTTTCTAAGTAAAGTTTTAGAATACTTGGAAGTTGATAAATAAGTATAACTTCTAAAAGTTTAAGATCTAAAAGGTAAAATAAATATATAAATTTAGAGAGTAAAATAAAAGCTAAACACCAGAATATCTATTCCTATGAATAAACAATGCAATTCAATTATTCTCTTTGCTAAGATACAAACAATTGAGCACAAAATCTGTGTAAAGATACTTTTTTATATTTTGAGACCAAATTATTTTTTATTTGATATATATAATACTAAATACACACTAATATTTGTTATTTACCTAATTTTTGTAACTTTAATTTATAAGTTAAAAAATACTTTTGGTTAAACGATTTAGTGCCTAAATTTTAGTGTGTATACGATTTAATCTCTTAAACTTTAGTATGTAATGATTTAGTCTTTTATCGTGAAATTTTTTGTTAAATTTCTTATACATATAAATCGATAAACCAACGAAGGACTAAATGTATTGTTATGGGATAAAAACAACATATATTTTTCACGGTAGAAAGCTCAATAACTAAATCGTTGCTTTACCGAAAATACCATAATCAAACGTGTTTTCTTAACCTAATATAATTATGTTTGTACCAACATTATTAAAGATCCTGCATCATTGAACTGATATGGTATCAGAGTCCAAAAACTCAAATGAGCAAAAAGATGAACTACTTCTTTCATCGTCAATTGATTTGAGATAGAATCCCATGAATATTGGTTAATATCGAGCAATTTAGTAACATCTCCATCAAATCGAGACCTGGAAAAGTACCTGATATCGGTGCCAAAATTGGAAACGAAATAGGAGACATTTTTGGAGACCCAATTCTCAGCAACACGTACACTAGTGGCAAGGGGGGCCAAGAATTCATTAGGCACACCAAGCATAACTTGGAGGCCAGAATTGCCGAGGGCTTGAAGAGCTCCGGGGTCGGCTTCGAAGAGCTTCACTTTGTTGAACCCATTGTCCTTCATCAATTTGACCACTATGTCCGGCGGGAGCGGGTGCGAGGAGCGCGTTCCCCAGTTGCAGGCGAACCCAACGGCGCCCTTCAGAACGCCTGCTTCGTAACCCAAACAAGAAATGATCAGCAAAAGCAATTGCCACGGGAGTCCCATGTTTTTGTGTGGCGTTGGACGCCTTTTGGGGGGATGCCATTTTAAATGTAATGGGGAAATTGTAAAGTTGGGTGGGACATTGGACATTGGACGAGACCTTTTGGGCAAGGAAAGGCAAGGGATTAATTGCATCGAGGAGGATTCCCAAAGGAATTGGGTTCCATGAGAACATCTACACGTATTGCCAATCAATGATTCTTCTTCCTTAATGTAACGTTGGTGTACTATTTTAGTAGGTATCCTTTTACGGACTGATAATTAAGAAAGATGAATACGTGAAGGGAGAGACGGGGAAATATAAATTGTTTTTGTTTTTTTAAATGAATAGCTGTGGATTTTTAATGTTGTGAAGTAAGAAAATGTAGGCCGCTCGATGTTCTATGTATTGTTATATAAAATATATATGTTGTTGCTGGATTTTGATCATTTGTGAAATTTGGCTAAAAGGAAGTAATTGTAAGAGAGATTTGGAAATGATAAATAAACACTCTTATGCTCAAGTTAGTCTCGATTCGATCTATTTGCTTGAGGACGAGCAATTAGATTCACGTAGCTATGTATGAAGTCTACCTTGATGCTTACGTTATGAAGAAAGATGAAGAACCTTGCCATATGGAGGCAATATAATATAGATCAATTGTTGGAAATTGCCTTAACCCGAGATAGGAGAAACCAAAGTTCAATCTTAGAAACTCTCGATGGGTTAGAAGATTGTTATCAAGTGTATAGGGAGACCTTGTGAAAACGAGGATCTTAATCCGAGGATAAAAGGCTCGTGAACTATTATCGAAGATTTATGATAAGTTACTCGAAGATGGCTGCTCAACTCAAAAATCTCGTGAAAAAGAGTGACTCCACCCTTTTTTGTTCGGTCAAAAGTAGGTCCAAAGAACGAGAGTGTGGGCTTCCTTAAGTCTGTTGTTCTTTAGTAGCGTGGACTCAACCATAAGGTACCCCTTTACTGATTGGTCGAATATGCATTGGTTGGCGGGTTCCACTCGTCGATCACTTTGCACCACGCGAAACTCCTAGCATGGTGGGTTGGAAGTTAATGAGTAATTGAAAAATAGTTTCATTATTTCGATGTCTGATCTTTACTTAGTTCAAACCTCAATAAGAAGATATTCGATTAACTATCGCAGAGGTGTCACACGTCAACTATCAACAACCTCTCTCCATTTGGCACGTGGTAGGTTGTTTCACCTAGCTCAAACAATATATATGAGAGACAAAATAAATGCATGCATATGAATCAAGAAAATAATATATGTTTGGAGCCAACTCCCACCCTATCTAATCTATGTTAGTCCTAGGTGCTCAGTGGGATGGAAATCTTGTTTTGTGAAGTTTGGTTCTTGCCCCTCATTGCCACGCTCTAAATAGGACGGTGAATCTTTGTCTGAAATAATAATGGAAAGCTTTTTAGCCTAACTCATCGGATAAGACATCTATCATCTTTAAGAAAATTGAAGTTAGTTTGAACCTCTATTTCTATATTTGTTGAACTCTAGGGCAAACTTTATACTTTTGCCCTTGAAGTTTACCCGTTTGAGAAATAGCTTAACTAGTATTATATATCTATCTTAGAGGAACGAAATTAATTTTGCAACACTTATATGTGTGGTACGTATATGCTTTTAAATATGTATCTATAATATATGCACACACTAACTCATCCACTAATCTAAAAGACGTTACTTTCGATGACAAACATCTCAATTCATTATTTTGCATATCAAAATTAATGGACTAATAGTTTAGATTTTCAAAATTTAGATTGAAAATTGTCATTATTTGCTTTTATTTTATTATGATTAACAAAATCCTGCCAAAGTCCAAAGTCTAAAATAGTAACTAGTTTAATGAGCAAGCTTCACAAATGCAATATTGGACTCCATTCTAGTAAAGCAGCACATAAAAAAAGGTTTGGACAGTTAAAATATTCAAATCATTCCTATATATAACAATTCAAACCCCATAAATTTTATCGATTTGTCTATTTTTTTCAAAAAAATCATGCTCTCATCCAAATCAATTTCTACAATTCAGGGTGTAATAATAGTGAAGATATTTCATAACGTAGGGTCGACACTTGACATCAGTAAAAAAAAAAAAAAGTTCAAAGGAATTGATTCTTTGGAGCTCTTTTTTTTAAACTAAGGGGAACAAATTAGAATAAAAGAAACTCTAGAGGTTAGAAATGAACACCGAATCAACGTTTAGGGCTAAATAAATATTTTAAACTACAAGAATTTAAAAGTTTTTAAAGAAAAATTTTGACATTTAGTGCAAATGAAGATGAATTTTCTCAACTATCCAAACGCGGCTTACAATTTTCGCTCCAAAACAATTATCGAAGAAAATTTATTCAAACAAGCAAAAGTCATTCGCTTTTGCGACCGTTTTTGCTGTTTATTCTCTCTCTCTCGTTCTACTTCCTTCCATTTTCCACCCTCTCTGATTTGATCTCCGCACCTAAACGCCATTGATCCAAGCATTCTTCGATCCCAGATCTCAATCCATCGTCTTCCCACGAAACCCCACCTCATTCTCCTTATCCTTCTCCCTCAAAACGCTCTCAGATCTTCGCCGCATTTCGATCTTCCGATGGCTACAATGGAGAGCTTGATCGGTTTAGTCAACCGAATCCAGCGAGCCTGCACTGTCTTGGGAGACCATGGCGGCGAGGGAATGTCCCTGTGGGAAGCTCTTCCTTCTGTCGCCGTCGTAGGAGGACAGGTTCGTAATCTCGTCATTTGTTTTCTACTCGATGTATGATTTAGTCATTGCGTTGGTAATCATTTTCTGTATCTGATTCATTTCTGTTTATGTGGAAATTAGAGTTCCGGTAAATCTTCGGTGCTGGAAAGCGTGGTCGGTAGAGACTTTCTTCCTCGTGGATCCGGTAAATCTCGTAGATTCGTTCTCGTCTTTTGTTTGTGTGTGTACCGATTTGCAATACGTGATAAAAATGTTCTCTCTCTTTCTGCTAATCTGTTTGACTTGAGAGGGATAGGTAGATGTGTAATAATGATGGACTTCATTTTACTCACCGTTTACTCTATACTCGAGGATCTTCATTTTAGCACAGATAAGGGGAAGCTAAATTTTATCTTCTTGCATTTTGTAATCTATTAAGTTGAAGTTGCAAGCTCCAACCATTAAAGTAATTTGGCGATGATTACTGATTGAATACTTAAAAAGTATGTTGGTTTTCCTTTTTCAATCTATCACTTCTGAACTGAAAATTGTAATATCAGTATGAATCTCAGTTGCATAAATCGTGCTTGGTTAGTGATGATTGACGAAGAACAGTTTCTTTTATCTCTAAAATCTTCCTTGTTGATAGGCATTGTAACACGAAGACCGTTGGTGTTGCAACTTCATAAGACGGATGATGGACGGGCTGAATATGCAGAGTTTCTCCATGCCCCAAAGAAGAAGTTCTCTGATTTTGGTACATCGTATATCATTTTCTTAATTCTGACAAGCAGTTGTTTTATTCATTGGCTTATGTACTTTAGAAAGCTTTAACTTTCCACATTTTTTGCTTACCGTCCCCTTCTTCAATACTTGAGCATTCCCCATAATTCTGGAGATAAGGTTTAGTATTGTTGTGTATTTTGTGAATTTATTAATGCTATTATGGAGCTATATTTCTATTTGACGTTGTAAAAGATCCTCATATAAATAAGATCTATGTTTTCTAGGCATATTTGTGATTAAATATCTAAATCTACGTCTAAATTGAATCTACTCGTTCTCATATCAAAATCTCTGAAGTTTATTGCTCACAACAAAGTTGAAAATTTAGTTCCATAGGTTTCCTATTCCTGAAGCCCTTGTGTACACTCTGTAGAATATAATTGCATAACCATGGAAGAAGAGGAAGTCTGGCTAAAAGCTGATCCTGCATTAAGATTCTCAAGTCTAAGTGTCTGTAGAAATTTTTTTGTGGGCTGCTTTGGAATCGGACGATAAAATATTATCGTATGAATCTGGTTATTATTTGACGCATTTTCTCTTTGATTAGTATTATATAACTTGCTCTTTTTTTTTCCTTCCCCCATAAGATTTGAATATTTACTTATGTTACGACCATGAAAGTTTTACCAAATTAAAGTGTCCATTATTTTCATGTGCAGCTTCTGTGCGTAAAGAAATATCAGATGAGACTGATCGGATAACTGGGAAGTCAAAGCAAATCTCAAATATTCCAATTCATTTGAGCATATATTCTCCAAATGGTAAATAAGATGAAATATAATTATTGAACTATGGAATCTGCAGGTTGAATATTATCATAAGCGGTAAACCAGTGATTCATACTTTGAGTGGACCCTGATACTTTGGAAGCACATAGCAAATGTTATACAGTATGACTCGTAATGTTCAGGGGAAGAAATAAACGTTTGTTCTATAAAGAAGTGTTTAAACTTCAAACTTGCTTTTAGAATTCGAGCATGAGTTATTTTTTTTGCATTTTTTGGTGTTGCTTTAGCAGTTTGAGGGATGTGGTTGGTCAATTGTTCTATTATCTTGTATTTTTTACATCTCTGTTCTTTGTTGGTTGTTTTTCATCTCTTTCCGCACCCTTTGGGAGTTTGTATCCTTTAACACTTTTCTTCCTTTTCATATTATCAATGAAAAGTTTGTTTCTTGTTAAAAAAAAAAAAAAATTGAAGCATGAGTTTCTAATGGTACAAATTGAACTCTGACATTTATCATATATGCTCTGACAATTTTGAATGTTAGACACCTAGATATTTAAAGTTAACACATAACAGAGGATCAGTAACTTTGTGAACCCCAAGGTTTGGTCGTATCTACACATGGTTGGATACGTTTATCTGTGCAATTAATTGATGTTCTTATTAAGTACTTAAATTCCCTCCAATCATGTCACACTAGCGTAACAGAATTATGTGCTGACTGTTGTAGTTGGTCTTTGGGAATTTCTCAAATAAATCAATTGAACATTTTTTTTAATGATACTTAGA